TGAGTAGGCAGAGGAGGAAGAGGAGTTGGTCTTGCTGTCTCAGGGGTGGCAGAGGCAAAAGAGGCAGGGGAGGTGGAAGAAGAGGCAGGAGAGACAGGCACACTTGCTGTGACTTTTATTGAAAAAAATCCACCTGTAAGTGGACCCACGGAATTCAAGCCCATGTTGTTCAAGGTTCAACTGTATAAATAAATGGCTGTTAGAAATCAATGACAATCCAATAGAAGAATTGGATAGGGTTGCAAAAAAAGAAATATAAAGGACTCCTATACACATGAAAGGATGCTCAACTTTACTCATAATAAATGAAAATAAAGATATATACCACCTCCCCAACATCAGATTGATACGACAAAAGTTTGAGAACATAATTTGTTAAGACTGTGGGGTAAAAGGCATTTTCCTATGTTGCCGCGCAAATGAAAAATGGCACCACTGTTGCCCACCCCGTGAAGTGAATCAAGCAACACAGACCAAAATATCTACCAAATTTACAAAACTATTTACTCTCTTGTCCACTTCTAATAATTTGTCCTATAGATGAGCCAGAATAAGATCAAGGGTATTTATTACAGTTAATAAATACTTATTATTACAGTTAATAATTACTGTTGTTATTCTTAACAACAGTAGAGTGAGAAAAGCTAAAGCATCTATCAAGAAAAGGGTGGTAAAATAATCTGTGCTGCATCTAGAAGAGGAATACTATGTGTGTGTAAGAAAAGCACACAGTGATAAGGAAAGATCTCCAGGAAACAGGGTGTAGAGTTATTTATATAGTATGTTATTGTGTGTAAGAAGGGAAAATAAGAATATGCATTCATGTTTGCATTTATTAGCAGAAAATCACTGGAAGAATATATGAGAGACTAATAAAGTGGGACTGAGACAGGGAAAATGGGGCAGGGTGGAAGCAAGACCTTTCAATATGCTGCTAAAATGTTGCTTTAATTTTTGAACATATAAATACATTACCCATCTAAAACCTTAAATGTGGAAAAGGATATAGGGCCTCCAATTACATGTAAAGCTGCTAGACAGCACTAGTAATAAA